GTAACAACAAGGTCTTGGTGGCTGTCCATGACAGCGGCAGTGTTGTTGTTTGTGTCACCCTGTTTTGACTGAACCATTAGCACAGCTGTTGCTGTTTCTGAGGTTTCAGTTTGTGACGGGTCACCGTCGGTGACGTGTGATTGTACCCCCCTTTTTCAGGTGAGGGCGTGTCAGAGTTTACAACAACAGCGTCATGGTGACTGTCTGTGACAGCAGTAACGGTGTTGTCTGTGTGCTCTGACTTATCAGCAACGATATTGCCAAACAACGCGTTAGGTTGTTTGTCCATGGCAACACCTTTCAACAATTCCAAGAACCGACGCACACTCTCTGTCTCGTCCGAGCTCAGAGGTCTGCGGCTCTCTTTCTGGACCTGCTACTGTTTCTTTTCCGTCTCAGGCTGTTCAAGCCAACGTGGTGGGGAAGCAGTCCCCCCCCCCCCCCCCCCCCCTCTGGGGTTCCCAGTGGGATCCCTGGTTGTATGGGTCACTTTTGGCGCCATACTTTTTACCCTTAGGGCGTTCGCCCCCCTTCTGGTACAATCGTTCATCCTCTGATTTCTTGGGAAACCATTTAGGATCTCGTCTGGACCAGGGGGCACTCACCTGTTGTGATTTGGCTGCTGGGAAACCTCGTTTCCTCTCGCCTCTTTTGGGAGGGGGAGTCAAAGCTCTCGTCCCTTCCAATTCTAATGACTGGGCAGGAATCCTCTCACCTGGGAACACCTCAATGGGTGTTTTGGCCTGTGAACGGGCTTCAAAGACATTCACAGCACAACTTTTTATCTCACTGATGGATTTCTTTTTGAAATTAGCCATCATTTGCACTGACATCCTTATGTCAGGGTGGAGATTTTTGCTGAAAATGAACTTACACGTTTCCTCCTCCTCCATGCTGGTCTCGTTCCTGTAACCAAAATAAGCCTGCAAAATCCTGGAATAATATGCCCTTGGGTGCTCATTCTTACCTTGCATGACCTTGTCGGCGGCTGGATAACCGCCAGGTCCCGCGCAAGGGGAATACTCTTTCATAAGAGCAGCACATAACAGGCGGTAATCCTTTCTTGTGGCATCAGGTTGATGCGCTATGAAGGAAAACACCGTCCTGGTTGAAGTGAGCCTGATCAAACCTACTTTATCCTCAACTGTAGCATTGGGATAGCTTCTCAATTGGAAGTCAAGGTCGTTCAGATAGGCCTTAGTGTCGGTTGAACCCAACGGCCCTGGCTCAAAGCGTTGGACATATTTTGCAATTTTGTACAAATCCGAAATCGAGAGCAGCGGCTGTATGATTAGTGTCTTAGGAACCAAAATAGCATGTGGAGGTGAGTCACTAGACTCACGTGGAGGCGACAGAAGGGGATTAAGTGCAGGAGGTACAGCAAAATCCTTCTGAGGTGGTGGTGGGTGACCTGGACTCTGACTTTGTTCATCTTTGAGTTCCAGACAACCTTGTCCCACGTCAGAAATCTCATTTGTTGCTGCGGCAATTTTTGCCTCACAGGCTTTTAAGCGTTCATGTGATGTATGACATTCACTTTGTAAACGCACGCCTTGTTGGACTAACACCGCCTTTTCCAATCTGCACTCGTCCAGAGCTTTTGATGTGAGCTGCACCTCTCGTTGTAGCGCATCATTGTCTGAACACAGTGCTTGGTACTTAATCTCTCTTTCACGTAGCTTCACCTCATATGAGTCTGCTTGTAACGACAGCTGAGCTTGTGAGAGCTCTCTCTCACATTTTAATTCATTTGCCCAGGTCTCCTTATCAAATTTAAACTGTGCTATGAGTCTTAGATACTTGTCTGTCTCGCTGTTTAACCTTATTGCAAGGTCGTCAGCCTTGTTGGCCTCAACATAAAATTTAGCTTTCAGTCAGAGTGCCAATTTAGCCAGTTGGTCATAGCTTGACTTTGTTATGGTTGCAGAGGTCACACTTTCTGCAATATCCTTCAGCTCGTCCAATAACTCTGTCGAGTTCATGCTGTCCACCTGTTCATCATATGGATGTAAGGATTCTGTTAGCAGCGTTAACGCTCTTTCTAACCAGTCCTTCTTATCACACAGAAAAATATTTGTTTCTGTCACATCTGCCATGGTCATCCACTGTTCAGCAAACCTATCTGGTTAAACAGTTGCAAACTTAGAGTTTTTAACAGGTAAATATATTTTTTAAAGTGCACAGTGAGATTCACACACTATTTTAGCTCTGGGTTCAATCAACAGTACTGTTATAAGCAAACTTTTCAATAAATGGGCCCCTGTGAAGGTCTTACCCCATAAATATTGTAAGTAAATGCCTCCTTCTGGCAGTGTTACTTAATTATGAGCTTATTTTTAACAGATACCATGAACCAGGCCTTTTCAGTGTTAATTTTACTCAAGTGCACTTAAAATTAATAAACCTGTAATTTTTCTAAAAGTCTGACATCAACTTTAGTGTTCAAACGCTTTTTTTGCAGTAAGTCGGGCTCGTTCCCAGTGAGAGTTGGACTCCGCCAAGGTTGCCCTTTGTCACTATTCTGTTCATAACTTTTATGGACAGAATTTCTAGGCGCAGCCAAGGTGTTGACGGGATCCGTTTTGGTGGCCTTAGGATTGCATCTCTGCTTTTTGCTGATGATGTGGTCCTATTGGCTTCATCAGGTCGTGATCTACAGCTTTCGCTGGAGTAGTTCACAGCCAAGTGCGACACAGCCGGGATGATCAGTTTCTCCAAATCTGAGGCCATGGTCTTGAGATGGAAAAGGGTAGAGTGCCCTTTCCGGGTCAGGGAGGAGGTCCTGCCCCAAGTGGAGGAGTTCAAGTATCTTGGGGTCTTGTTCACGAATGAGGGAAAAATACCATACCACTTTATTTATAGAGCACATAAAACAGCGACAAGGCCAACCAAAGTGCTGTACAGACAAAACAACAGGTAACACACAAAGCAATATACAAAATGAAGTAAATCAGAATATAGACATAAAAACGATGCAGATAAAATGGAGCGTGAAATCGATAGGTGGATAGGTGCAGCGTCTGCAGTGAAGCGGGCGCTGTACAGGCCTGTTGTGGTGAGAGAGCTGAGTCAAAAGGCGAAGCTCTCAATTTACCGATCTACGTTCCTACCCTCATCTATGGTCATGAGCTTTGGGTTGTGACCGAAAGAACGAGATCTCGGATACAAGCAGCCGAAATAAGTTTTCTCCGCAGGGTGTCTGGGCTCTCCATTAGAGATAGGGTGAGAAGCTCGATCATCCGGGAGAGACTCGGGGGCCGTTTACACAGCGCGTATTTTGAGTGCATCTACAGCTTTCTCTCTGCGGTTCTGCTGTTCATTTACAGACACCAGTGGTCCACCTCTTTGAATCCGGAAGTTTCTGAACCCACCTTCCAGAGTGGAGGTTTTTCGCTGACCCCCCGCTGATAATGTAAACATCTTCCGCTGAGGCTTTGTGTTAAACCACATGCACACACGCACACGCAGACAGACGCTATATTTCTATCAACATGGCGGCGGATACACTGCTTTCTGAACTATGATTGGTGGAATATATTTTTAATCTCGTAGTTAATCTACGTCAGATTCCAGGTGCTGTGACCAACATCTGTGTTGGAAGAGACACCAGTCGGATCCAGCCCTAATATTGCTGTTTATAGAACGAGGCACGTGCACATGTTGCGCTGCACTATAACATACTAAATGTGTTAAATAATAAGTTTAATAATAATAAACAGTATTTATCTTTAGTTTGAAATATATAATGAAGCTCTCTGAGCTAAATGAAGCTATCTGGACATTATGTAATTCAAATTATGTGATTAAAATGATGCTAAATATATTGCATGCTATTAACGTTGAAAATGAAGACATCAGGTTTAATTTTTATTTATTTATTCAACACCACAAACTGTATGTCACACAAACACTGATAATTAAACTGAACACACTATTAGAAACAAGTTAACTGTAAACTACATTAATGAACTGGAGTCTCCTTTGTTTTCATCCTGGATGTCCCACGTTGTCCATCTGGCTCGTTCAGGAAGTCACTACTTTGATTAATGCAGCTTAAACCATTCAATAGATTGAATAAAAGAACTGAGGGGAATTTTAAATAAATAGTTCATCCAACATCTCTCTCTCTCTTCGACGTCTTCCTGCAGTGCATCTGGGCTGAGCCTCGTTCTGGTCCACCTGGTGGGAGGACAGCTTCTTCTACTTTCAGGAAAAAATAAAAACTCAGTTGGTTGTTTTGTAATCGAAGCTGAATGGCATATCAGTCAGAAATGGCAAATAGGCATTAGATAAAGGGCTTTCAATGGCTTAAAGCCTACGTGCAGCCAGCCTGGTTGTGTCACAGCACGGATCTGTTCACAGACAAAAAAAAACTGAACAGAAGTACACGATCATGGGTACAGCTCACATTCGACGTGCCCCCGGGCGACGATATCTGTGCCCAGAATCTTCCTATCTCTTGTAGCATAGCAGAATAACTGTGCGTGTGCCATTTTTAACGAGAGTCTATGGTTTAGACTCTTGCGGCCCCAGGGGCCGGAAATACGTCACCAATCGGACGTTTTTGAAAGAAACAACTTAACTCATCATTAAATATAAAATATAAATTTTACACAACAAAAAATATGTACAATGTATTTCGAAATATTTTTATTTTATTATTTAAAAAATTTTTTTAATTGGGGGGAGGCTCTAGCACCCTGTACAGAGAGCCACCACTGCTCCAATCAAATGTTTTAGTGGACTCCCCTCTGCACCATACTTACAAAATATCAAAGATTTACATCCAGGCTGGAGAGTGGGAGATCGCAGGAGGAGAAGCTGGTGAAAGGCCAAGTCCGAGATATGGGTCCCACCATGGTTTCACCCTCCACAAAAGAACAAACAAACAAAAACAAAAAACCTTTGGGTCAGAGGATGTTGTGTTGACATTGTCTCTCAAAGCTCCACATACATCCATTAAAGAAAGTTTTAGTCAAGTTACCTCCTATTAAAGTTAACTTCTCGTCAGGGAATCGAACCCTGGTCTCCCACGTGATAGGCGGGGATACTTGCCACTGTACCAACGAGAAATTAGTGTTAGGCTGAAAAGAGAATTGGAACAGGTTGTTTGATGTAAGGCAGCAGTGTTAACAGAGCAGCAGCGAAGATGGAGATTTATTTTTTTTGGGGTGGGAAAAAACCGGAGTTCCCGGAGTAAACCCATGTGTTCACAGAAAGACTGCACAGAGAATTGGAACAGGTTCTGTTTGATGTAAAGCCCCCAGTTTACTCCCGCGTACGTCCATATGCGGAGATACGTATACGTGGGCTGGTCTGATGTGTGGACTGCAGAACCAGCGCTCCCTGGGTTGTTTTTTTTTTAGATCTTTTTATTAATAACATATCAACACAGAACACCGCGGCTGCCAGCGCTCGTTTTTTTTTCCCGACCTGTCAATCAATCCAGTAGGCGTGTTAGCAAATGACCAATCGGCGACCTTAATTTGTCCCGACGGTAAACGCCCCTTGTCTGTGAGGTTTCTCTGCAGCTGCTCAGGGTGTACGCTCGAGTATGAAGTCTGAACCCTCTGCGTACAGTACACGCGTATGTACGCGTGAATGGACGTACATGGGAGTATACTGGGGGCTTAAGGCAGCAGTGTTAATAGAGGAGCAGAGAACATGACGATTGATTGTTTTTGGGGGGTCGGTGGGAAAAAAACCGGAGTTTCCGGAGTAAACCCATGTGTGCACAGAAAGACCACAGAGATTTGGAACAGGTTCTGTTTGATGTAAGGCAGCAGTGTTAACAGAGGAGCAGTGAAGATGGAGATTTATTTTTTTTGGGGGTGGGAAAAAACCGGAGTTCCCGGAGTAAACCCATGTGTGCACAGAAAGACCGCAAAGAGATTTGGAACAGGTTTTGTTTGATGTAAGGCAGCAGTGTTAACAGAGGAGCAGCGAAGATGGCGATTTATTTTTTTTGGGTGGGAAAAAACCGGAGTTCCCGGAGTAAACCCATGTGTGCACAGAAAGACTGAACGGAGATTATGAACAGGTTTTGTTTGATTTAAGGCAGCAGTGTTAACAGAGGAGCAGCGAAGATGGCGATTTATTTTTTTTTGGGTGGGAAAAAACCAGAGTTCCTGGAGTAAACCCATTTGTGCACAGAAAGACTGAACGGAGATTATGAACAGGTTTTGTTTGATTTAAGGCAGCAGTATTAACGAGCGACGATGCCCCCTCCGTGTGTCTCCGTGAGTTTGGTCATGATGCCCCGCTTCTGAGCATTTTTTCTTATTTTCGTGGCAGTACCCTAAGTGGAGGAAGTTTTTTAGCCTTTCGGATTGGAGTGATGCTTTTTGATACAATCTCCAGTTTTGATGTGCTGGGGGCGGGTTGCAAATCTTCTTCAATATTTGTAATTGGAAGAAGATTTCTAGCCGTTCGGATCGGAGTGAAGCTTGTGGACGCAATCTCCTCTTTTGATGTGCTGGGGGCGGGTTGCAAATCTTCTCCAATATTTGTAATTGGAAGAAGATTTCTAGCCGTTCGGATCGGAGTGATGCTTTTTGACGCAATCTCCAGTTTTGATTTTTTGCCGATGGGTTTCAAATCTTTTTTAATGTTTTTAAGTGGAGGAAGGTGAAATTTGTTTGCTTTCCTCACAGGTAAAATCTCATCAGATTTGAGTGTATTGATTTCATGCTTGTCGATCTCAGACTCGAATAGTCCCTGGTTTTCATCAGTGAGACTTAGTTCCTCGATTTCTACTTCTTTATCTTCCAGCTGTTTGAAACTGTCGTCAAACTCGTGCTGCCTATCCTGTGTGGGAGGTCTGGAGATTTTACTTGGAAGCGAGTAATCAATACATTGTAGCCCCATCTGCTTAGGAAGAATCTGTTCATTGTTTTTGCATATTTCATTGGTGGATTTCTTTAATGTCAGATTCTCTTTTTCACGCTTGAGTTCATTTATTTCCATTGACTGAGCTTCTTTTTCTTTTTCAGCTCGTATGATTTGATTTTTCAGCGTGCAATTTTCATTTCTAAGCTGGTTTATAATTTCAGTTTTAGAAATGTCTGACGTTTTAAATGTTTCCAGCTCACTGGCATAATTTGCAATTGCCATTTCAGCCACATTTAGATTTTTTGCATAAAGCTCGTCCTTTTCTTGATCTGATGCGATTTTGCTTTTCGCTTCATGTTCCGCATAGTCAAGTTTAGTTCTGGCATTGAACAAATCGTTTTTTAAACTGAGATTTTTTGCTCTTAGTTGTTTTATTTTATCACAATTTTTGTTGTAATGAACCGTCAGCTTTTGGCAATCAGCTTCCAGTATCTTGATTTGATCTTGAGCACAGCCGAGGTTATTTTCAGCCATGAACAAGTTATCTGATAGAAGTTTGTTTTGATTGCTGGAAGCTGCTAGTTCATTTGTGAGCTTCTTTTGTTCGTCTTTCATTTTGTCCCCAGCAAGCAGAAAAGTTTGCGACAGCTCTTCATTGTCCCTTTGCTGGTGAATTTGTGCAGTTTTATAATGTTCCTTTTCCTTCTGCGCTTCAGTCAATTTCTCCTGCAGCTTTCGTATCAGGGTACACTGCTTCTCAGTTCTTGCTTTTTCGCTTGAGTTTGCGTCCGTCATAAGTTTAATGATGGTGTTTTGATGCGCAACATTTTGTTCAGAAAGTTCTTTGATCTTTTCCTTCAGACATTCACAGTCTATTTTCAATGACCGTTTCTGTTTCTTTTCACTCACATTTTCATGTTTGTATTTTCCAAGCTCTTTTTCAAGGCTTTGAAAATTCCTTTGTAGTTCATGAAAAGATTCATTTACTCTTTTATAATCGCCTGTTTTTTTTTCGCATTTCTTCCTTTTCTGCAATTCTTTTTCAGCAGTAATTTCTGAACTGATTAATTTTTTCTTTACCTGTTCTAGTTCTTCTTTCAGCTCCTCGTTTTCTTTAAGACA